CAGAAATTAGTCTAGAAAAAGAAGCATCTTGTACACGTGAAGGTGAAATTCTAAAAAGTAGGGGGATGCCTTTATTTGATTGCCATGATTGATTGTAAAACTGATACATTGTATATTTAGGGAGACTGTTTCAGGAAGGCAAACAATTATGTTTGATATGTATATATTATAAAGTCATACCTTAAAGTTAGTGAATATCAAAAGTGCACCTTCCAGCACTTGAGCTATCTCATATTTTTACTTTGTGTGACATAAGTAAATGGTTTTGTTTTGTCTGTACGTTGCTGGAATGTATTACCTTCCCCTGGGCCTGAAGAATAAATTAACAAATTGTATATCTGACACACAACACTTAGTTTGTGCTGGTGTAATCAAGACTGTGTGAGGTCTAGAGTATGAATTGGGATGGAGTTTTGGGTCATCTTGAAGAGAAACAAGGACCAGAAGACATTAAAAAAGCAATCAAACCAAGCAAACAAAAAGATGGGAAATATACTTTTGACCATTATTAAGTTTAAATTCCCATCTGGTCTAAGTAATTAGTGGCTTTGTAAAAAAAATATAGATTTGCATGTCGTTAGCATCAAGACTTTATAATCTTAGATGTATAAGTAGAACACTTCAGTGTTCAATTCAAAGACACAGACTTCAAAACAGAACTGAAAGCTTCAAAACCTGCAGCATTATATTAAAAAAATATATAAGTTGCCTAGCTAGTTTTGATGAAATTGTTATTGTGGTCATCAGGAAACTCAGGCATTTAAACTGGAAAAACACTTTCGCTATTACACTCCTATTAACGGCTATTTTATTAAAAATGCTAGTTCTTTTGCGTCCTTTACAAAACTGCAAGACAGGAACCTGTAAATATGAGAAGGTTGCCTCTGTGTTAAAGTGACTGTTTTAAAGCAGATCTTGTTCCTGAAGATTTTAACTTTTAGTGTTGCAGCTAAGGAAAAAAATAAAAGAATTCCTGTCAATTACCAAAAATTATTCAAGACCTCTTTCTTAGTATTGAAATGAATTAATGCATTTCCTTATAATTTACTGGCTAAATTGAACAGTCAAGGTCTAAACTAAGTTGTAAAGTTATGATGTGTAGGTCCCACATTTAGTTGTCTGTACTAAATCAACTGCTGCTGCAACCATTCTTGCTACATTTATCTTAGATAAACCAGAATCTGGATTAATCTCACCTAAATGAATCTGATTGGATTAATCTCACCTGATTTCAGCTACCTGAAAGTGAGCTATTTGGTTGAAGGTGGCCACATAGGTCTCTTGTAGTTAATGAAAGAGAGAAATAGCTTCCTCTGAAAATTATTCTCAGTGATCAAAGATGAACTAGGCAGTAGGGATTCTTGTAAGTTTTCTCTCTTCTCTTGATGAGGAGGAACTTTTAAGATACTGAAATCTTAACTTTCAGATTAATTCCACTTCATAAATGCAGAATCTGCTCTTTACTTTCTATGAGGAATGCAGTTTAACAAAAGGTATTTCCTAGTACTGGCATCTTCTTGCGTCCTGAAAGCAAATTTTTTAGTGATTGTTATTCTGTGACTGACACAACAATGCTTCATTTTTGTTTGTAACTACCTGAATTGACTATGAAGAAAAAATTATACAATACATTTAACTTAAAAGGTCCATGGTAAGGTTCCAATTTACCATTTTGAGCGGAAGATAATAAAAAACCACTTTTGATATTTTAGAATATATTACAATTCCATGACAATGTAAGATTATAAATGTCTGTCTTATTCTTTTTGCTTAGAAGTAAAGATCCAAAATTGAGTGGAGTGACGGAATAAAAATTAAGATAATATATGTTGGGACAAACACATAGAAAAATTAAGGAAAGAATTTGTACTTTACCATGTAGCTTTGATACAAGAATTACAGAGATGTTCAGAAATTCTTTTAATTTCTTCTCTCATTTTCTGTAAAATATGACAATATAATTAAAAGATGTTGGTATCTACATTATATACATATATATTTAAAAGTTCTTTTTTTCATGTATAAGCTACTTGATTTCTTTGTGTACCTGCATGTGCATATATTATCCAATTGTGTTACTAAGTTATATTTTATAGGCAAAATAAAGAACAATCTTTCCTCAAGAAAGCTGAATGTAAAGTCTGGGCAGACAGGTGAATAATAACTGAAAAAGTTACAGGGGGTGATAAACAGCTAGAAAAGTTGAAAACAGTAATTTTAAGATGTTATTTTTACATCCTTATTGTTTTCAGGGGTCCTGTAGAGATTGCTTTACAATATATATATATATGTTTTACTATATATATATATATATATATATATATATATATATAGCTTTACTATATATATATATATGCTTTACATATATATATATATGTTTCCATCAGAAGTTTGTTTAACTCCTGCTGAACTCTGTGGGAATTCTGTATAAGTATAGTGAAAGTATTTTGCAGTACAATAATGATGGGATGTCTAGATGTTCTAGATCTGAAGATTTGCTAATAGCCCAGAGAGAAACTAGCTTCATGAGAAAACTTTAAAGTTAGGCTTTACAGTAGGCTTCTGCTTAATCCACATAATCAATTACGTACTGGAAATATTAACTAGGAGAAAATACGCCTATCAAACAAAAACAAGAAAAAAAATAGGAAGACTTTTGATTTGAAAACAAATTGCGTAAGACACTCAGAAGAATGCTAGAAGAGACTACACTCATTTCCTGGAATATATTTCCTAACTGCAAAAGAAATCAGGAAAGATACAGCCTGAATTTACTGCCTCAGAGTCCCCAGTATGGTATTTTTTATATTTTTATGCATTTTTTTTTATTTTCAGTATTTCTATAAATTTAAATTCAATAACTGGTAATACACCTATATTTGTAAATCAATTATTTAGGTATCAGTAGTGAACATGGTTTGAGGCACTGTATTTTTCATGATTCATTTTTTGTAATTTTATGCATAATAAATTATTTGTTGCTTTTTTTTCTTTTCATATCTGTAGTGTAAAGCAAATACTGAGTTATTTTTAGTCACAGCTGACTTATGTTGCAACTGGCTATTTACCTGAATTTCACTAACTGCCAATCTATTAACAGCAAAAAATATAGCATCTGGCATACTGTAAATCTCAGAGAACTTACAGATTCTGATTTTTCAGTGTGTGATATACTTCACTATAATGCCATTTAATCTAATATCATCCTCCATTCCTTCCCTACCACTTAAGCTTGAATATAACTCTTTCTTTGTGCCACTTAGCCATTTTCTCTGTTTGTGATATGTGCTTTCTTCTCTTGAGAAATAGTCTATGAATACATTATTAACTTTTTGAGCACCGGTTTCAAAAAATAATTACCGTAAAATGCTGGTCTGTGAGGGGGAGCTATTGGAGAGGGAAAATGATGCTATTACTCAGAGTCATCTACCAAAACACACATTTTACAGAGAATGTTCCAAGACCTGAAGCAATGTAGTTGGACAGAGCTCTCCTTTGCAATAATACTAATAAACTCAGACTTGTCAGTTTTATTAGTATTCATTTGCAGTTTCCTTTTGTTTCAGGACTTTTGCCTCCTGGTCAGAGTGGCTCCTAGAGATGAGTCAATCACAGTTCAATTTATTGGATTGCAGTGTGCCTGTCATGTTGTGTAATAATTAAGAAAAAAGGACAAGCTGGATTGCTTTACTAATCATAGGGTGTAACTGTAATTAATCCAAATAAAATTCCATGCTTACTACAACTCAGAAGACTAAAAAAGTTCTGTGATAAGTAATCCTAGATGAAAACAAATGCTCTATTTCACTCTTTGAATATGGTCTGAATAGTTATTTTCCTTTTCAAGCTTTCTCTCTCAGACTAGGTTAAACTCCTTAATTCAAATTAACTGCAAGAGATACTTGAAAATCCAAAGACATTTTTTCCTCAGGGAATTTACTGTTTTATCATTTTATGCAAGAGGTCAAATCATCAGGTCTGGGCAAGAATAAAACTATACATTAAATAATATTCAAGTGGACTCTTGAAGACAGGAATATCCAGGCAACTCTGCCAACACAGGCCTACAACAGTCCAGAACCAGATGGGGGCAAATTGAAAAATTAGCTGTAAAGTCAACTTCAACCTTTGGTCTACTGAATTGCTGTCTGGGCACTAGTGATTGTACTGGAGCTACAGGAAGCATAATGGGATCTCAGACATCTGGAGTTAGGTATCTCAGTGTATAAGGAGCTACCAGGTTAATAGCAAATTCATTGTAATTCATAAACAAACAAGTAAATAAATGACTGAATAAAATATTTTTTCCTTTTCTTGCATTTCTGTATCAGTTTAAATAACAAAAAAAATTCAGACTCATGTATGTATTCTCTTGTAGCTGGTATTCTCTCACAACTCACTGGACTTCAGGCTATTCGGTACTTCAGGAAGAGCAACAAATTTCTTGACACTTATTAGTGAAAAAGAAAGGAAAATAATTGGTTTTATGCTTGTGTGGGTGCAGTTGTGGCAGAAGAGCTATAGATTTATCCTGTTGTCAGATTCATTGATGCTGTTCGGTCATCTTTCCTCAGTCCATCTATGTTCAGTGTATTCTCCCCTTCAGAAGCCATTTCTAATAGCTTAGAAATGTCTGTGCAGTCTTTGTAATGAGAACAAACATGAAGATCCAAAAGCTATGCTGTCCTAGGTCAGTCTGAAAGTGTAATGCAGATTGCCAAACTTTAATAACTCTTATTATGTATAGAAAACCAAGATTTGATAAAGGACATTTTGTGAGATTCTCATTCAGCTGGACTAGTAATAATATCAAAGCAGTAGTAAATTAAAGCTGTTACTTAATCCAAATATATTTCTTCATGCGATTTAAGCAAGTATATTGTCTTGTACAACAATACAGGAGTTTTTAAATGTGTTATTCATATCAGAATTACAGCAATTATTCATACTGTCTCTGCCATTGATATGTAATTTATACTTGGTCTCTTCTTGTTTTCCAGATCTCCCAGCAAGGACATGGCTTCAAATGAAAGAGAGATTGTGGTTTGGGTTTGCCAAGAGGAGAAGATTGTATGTGGCCTGACAAAGCGCACAACTTGCTCAGAAGTGATTCAAGCACTGCTTGAGGAACATCAGACAACATTTGGAGAGAAAAAGGTCCTTTTTGGAAAACCTAGTGATTACTGCATTGTAGAAAAATGGAGAGGCTCAGAGAGAGTACTGCCTCCCTTGACAAAGATTCTGAGACTTTGGAAGGCCTGGGGGGAAGAGCAGGCTAATTTGCATTTTGTATTGGTAAAGTCAGATGCTTTCCTCTCATTTCCATTGTGGAAGACAGCTGAAGCCAAGGTAGTACAAAATGTAGAAAAGCAGTGGGACCTCAGTCCAGCAAACTACATGAAGATGTTGCCAATAGACAAGCAAAAGAAAATTGTGAGGAAGACTTTCCGGAAACTGGCCAAGCTTAAGCAGGACAGTGTTCAGCAAGAGAGAGATAATATGGAGACACTGATTCATCTGATAATTTCTCAGGATCATACCATTCATCAACAAGTCCTTAGAATGAAGGAACTAGATATGGAAATTGAAAAATGTGAAGCAAAATTCCATCTAGATCGTGTGGCAAATGATGGAGAAAATTATGTGCAGGACTCCTATTTAATGATCGGTACAAGTGAGGCTGAGCATCAAGGGAGTAGGCCAGATGATCAAAAAGAGATGCATGACTATTTGAGCAAAAGTGAGGGAATTTTACAGGTTGAAGAGAGACTGAAACATCACAAACAATTAATAGAGAATTTGTGTGCTGAAATTGAAAGAGAAGTACACGGTATTTGCATGGGAAAAAACGGAGAGTCTGTTCACACAGAAGGAGCTGCTAATGCTGAACTGGAAACCTCAGATTTGGAAAGTGTAAAATATGAGCTGGAAAAAAGCATGAAAGATGGTCTGAGAATCAACTCATACCTGAGCTGCATCCAGAAAGAACTTACATACAGGGACTCACTGCTTCAAAAGAAGGAAAAAGAATATGAACTTCTTACAGAAGAATTTAATTTACTGCATGTTAAGGACAACATTGAAATTGGGCTTCAATCAAATGAAGAGCCATCTAAGGGCAGTGGCATCTCCAGTACCAGCATTGCTGTTCCAGACTTTGTTCATAGAGTGACTAATCTGGACATAAACGATACAGACTCTGACACTGGAATCAGCTCTACACACAGTCAGGACTCTGAAATAACTGCAGGGGACATGGTACTGCTGTCAACATAGTTGAAAACGGTTGTGCATTTTTAAAAATTTTATTTTAGAGGATATTTATAAGAATTAGTAAACCTGTTGTCTTGAAAGTTTAGCTCTTCAAGGTATTAAAGCTGTGGCACTGCTTTAGCAAAGTAAAGCGTGTCTATTTATATCCTTAATAGTGTGCTTGTGCTAGAATGCTATGTGCTAGAATGGGTTAACTGGTAATAGGTGAAAAGTTGTTGATTTTGCTACATCAAGACAGACTATTTAGACTTTGTAATGTTGCTACACAGTGAAATGGGAGCATTCTGACTGGCTTGGACCAAAATTTTGGAGATTTCATATCCTTTGGTCTTTGTGTCTGCTCCTGCATCTCCCTAATTTTATAGGAATGTGAAGTAGAGACCAGAGAAAACTAGACCAAGAGCTTGATTTTCTGTTCTATTACATTAGCTTTATGCAGATGGAGTTTCCTTGCTGTAAAAGATGAAGCTGCTGTAAAAGATTATATAATTAAGCATTTAATCTGTTAAAAAATAGTTTTTATGATAATGTAGAACAGAAGAAATATAATTGCATTTATGCTGTATTTTTTAATTTAGTTTATATGTAATATCAGGATGATAGTTTTAAAAACTCCTAAGTCCCATTGTAAAAATTACCTTCCACATATGGGTTTTTAATTTTGATTCTCTTTCCGCAGTTTTTATCTGCTTTTAAGATCCTTAAACCCCCTACTTATCTGCTGTTACCCTGTAGTTGCCCTAGTGATGTTTTAAATCCACAGAGTTTCTGCCAGCAGGCATGTCAGGACTGCTTAGGTCCTCCTTGTGCGAGACGCTCAAATCCCAGGCTCACACCTAACCCTAGGGGCATTTTCAGCAAGACTTTCTCCTGCCTATCTCACCGGTTGGATCCAGTGTCTTAAGCCTCCTGAAATCATGACTATCAAAAAAAAGCATAGCAGAAGCAACAGGTAGGAACCAGTCATTTTAGTCTCTGGCTAGACACTGTTTCCCAATAGCCAGCTAGCAACTATTTTCATATAGCAAGTAGGTTTTCAAATCCCATTTTGTACTGTTTTGAAGCAGGAACCTATAAATCCTTCTTCCTCAGTGAGGACTTTGAGATATAGCTAAAACTGATCCACTTTATATAGTTAATAAAATATTGGGCTCCAGGTAAAATAAAAAAAAAAAAAAAAGAAAAAGAAGGAATGCAAAACATGATAATTTTGCAACTGTGGTTAAGTCCATGTTTTTTTTCATTTAGGATTTGTAGTTTATCGTAAACCCTTCTCCAGCATATTGCTGTAGGTCCAAAACAAAGCCATAGAATTGAATTGCCTCAGTCACCAAATAAGATTTATAACTGTGCTAGAGGCTCTGTTAACGAAGAGCACGTGCATAATTTCTAGATTGCCATGTTCATTTTACAAATCAATCTGTTTAATACTTCTGATTAAAATAACTAACTGGGGAAATAATTGCAATATATCTGAATAAAGTTCAGTTCTGCAAAATTCAAAAGAATCATGGAATTAACAGCCTACAAAGTGAACAAATGGACAGTACCTAGAAGGTGTAAATGTAAAATTCTTTCAGATACACTGCTTTCTTTAATTTTCTTAAGTGTCTGTCAACCATGTGTTTTCTAAAATGGCCAAAGTCCTAGGATTGCTGATTAGCCCATATTTAATGCAGGAAAACAAAAAACAAAACAAAACAAAAAAACCCCAAACCAAAACAAAAAAAACCCAAAGAACCCCAAAAATCAAAAAAAGAAAAAGAGACTTTTCTAAAAAGAAAATTGAAAATTGTTGTGGTTTATTTGTTATGGGTTTTTTCCTAATCCTGGCTATTATAAATAGTTTCTGTTTCACCAAAGTGTGCTAGTTGCCTTAATATATTTTGTGTTGTATTTTTTTCATACAATGTTATTTGAATGCTTCAGTGATACTGTGTAATATTTAGACTCATCAGCTCCTGATGGAAACACGTGTATGAAATATATTATCTTTGTAATAATTTATTAACGCAACTCTGCATCTTTTGACCTCTGTGGTATCACTCATAAAAGTAGTTAAGCCCAGAGTTCTGAATGCTGAGAATAGATTAATGTATTCTATGAATTCTTATGAGTTTAGTTACCAATAGCTACAATTTCTATTGTCATTTTTTATATATAACTACTTAGAGGATAGAGAATTGAAACAGTAATATACACAGCTGTGCAGGCTAGTAAAAGACCCATGGGGGAAAAATTAATTTCCACTCATACTCTACCAGATTTATTTTGCTCATAGGAACTTGTGTGGGTTCTCTCAACTGATCTTTATCCACACTTGGTGGTTGATTGTACCTCCCCTGCAACTTCTAGGTCTTAAGACTATCCCTGTGTTTTAAGAAGAAAATAGGTAAAATAGGCTGAGAGAGAGCATTTCTAAAAAATAAAATAATATTAAAAATCCAGTGTTTTGAAGCATTTATTTGAAGTTTGTACTTTGATATGTCAAATAAACACTTTCTTTCAGAATTTAGAATGTTCAAGATGATTAAGGACTTTGTGCACTCTTTGCTGCTTATCTGCTTCTATACTTTCCATATATTTGTTTGACCTGATTTTAGGATGCTAAAAGTATTCTTTATTGTCATGGTTTGACACTGACACAATGCCAGTGCCCCCATGAAAATGCAATCTTCCAACCGAATGCTGTGAAATGTGATTGAGAACAGAGCAAAGCAGGCCCAAGCTTAATAACAAGGAAAAAAAAAAACTTTATTAAGCAACTACTATTATACTACTATAAAAGGAAAAAGAAAGAAAAAAAACACACACAAAATTCAAAATTAAAACCTTCCAAAGCATTCCTCCTCCCACCACCCAACTCCAACAAACCACAGTGAGACACAACCCAGACCCCCATCAGGTTTCCACCCATCAGACAATTGATACTCAGTCCATCGAGGGAGAGAGGAGCCCCTCCTGTGCCACAGACCCCCCAAGAAACACAGCTGCCACATCCTGTGCTTCCATGTCACACATGGCACCGCCCGGAGAAAAAAGTTTGCCAATGGTGACCCTCTCCTTTCCATGCACAGTGCTCTCACCACCAATGCACAGATGGACAGACTGCTTTTAGGATTTTTCCTTTCAAGGATGCCCTGCCAAGAGGGGAAAAAAACAACAGTTCAGTTTTTCATTTTTGGGACCACAGACTTCCCCTGGGGGGCCGAGGATCCAAGAACAGAGATCTTCTTCTCTTCTTTTTCTCTGAAGACAGGGGGCACCACCACAAACCTCCCTAACTTTTCTCTGTTCGCTCCACTTCTGTCTTTTTCCCAGCTGAAGCAGGTCTCTTTGGCTCACCGGCATCCTCCTAAAATACAGTCTCTCTTGGAGGAGAAGATTGGTTCAGTCTGTGGCTACCAAGAAAAGAGTCCAGCCAAAAGCCACTCCATCATCTCCTCCCACCTAGAATTTCTCCTTCTAACATCCCAGGGTCCAAGCTGTCTCTCTTCCTCTCATTCAAACCGAGGAGGAGAAAAATTTCACAAAGCTTTCATTTCTCAAGGAAGGGTTAAAAGTCCCGACTCCCAGGGATGGCTTGCTGCCCAGGCTCCAGCTCCCAGAGGCGGCTGGGCACCTTGCGGCCCTCCCGCTCTTCTCCTTCCCCGCGGTATATTGCTAACAAAACTGCCACTGTCTCTTTCTCGAGAGAGAGACTCTGGGGGGGGGGGGGAACGGAGACATCCCAGATTTCTCCACCCTTCCATCTGCAGGGGGCCAGGCCCAGTTCCAGCCCCTCCACCCTTGGGCCTACCTCCGAAGGCCACATGGCTCTCCCCTCCCCCACCCAGCTTATCACCGGGCAGGGGAGAGTCTGCATTGCACGCTGACCAGAACCAAAAAGAGAGCGAGTTCTCCTGGGAATTCTGTTTTTAACCCCTCTGTGTTCTCAGAGGCGTGTCCACCTTCAGTTGGTCAATATCCAAATTGGCCTCTTCCTTCCGAGAAAATTCTTTTTCCATGTCAAACCACAACATTTATGAACCTTTATGCTCCTTACTTCCTCCTTTTCACACCTATCTGCATTTTATTTTAGTTGAAAATTTGCATAATTTAAAATACACAATAAAAGTCTTTGTATCATTGCCTGTCATTCCATTAAGCCAGTTGGCATATCCATCTTCAAATTTGGTTTTATTTTATAAAGTTTTACATGGACTATGTAACACTTACTGACAAAAGGCAGATCGAGTAAATCGAGTAAATAAGAGGAGAGATAAATTTTACCCAGGGAGTGGAAATGTGAAATTTCAAAGTAAAATGAAGCAAAAATCAGAAGGGCAGTTATTTCATAGAAGCATAACATTATTTGGCTTGGAAGGGACATTAAAGATCATCTTATTCAACCCTCTACCATGAAAAAGGATGCCTTTCAGTATACCAGGTAGCACAAAGGTTGCATCCAGCTTGGTCTTGAATATTTCCAGGGATGGGGTATCCACAGATTCTCTGGACAACCTATTCCAGTGTCTCACCACTATCACAGTAAAGAATTTCTTTGTAATCTCTAATGGAAACCTACCTTCTTACAGTTTGAATCCATACCTCCTTATGCTGTCACTACATGCCCTTGTAAAAAGTGTCTCTGCAGTCCTCTAGCCATTAGGTTCTGGAAGGTGTTATAGGGTCTCCCCAGAGCCTTCTCTTCCCCAGGATGAACATTCCCAACTCTTAGCCTGCCTTCAGCCCAGAGCTGGATGCAGCACACTAAGTGGGATGTCACAAGAGCAAATGAGAAAAATCCCCTCCCTTTACCTGCTGGTCACCGCTTTTTTGATGCAGCCCAGGATGTGGTTGGCTTTCTGGGCTATGATCGCACATTGCCAGGTGAAGTTGAGCATCTCATCTGCCATCCCCAAGAAGTCCTTCTTTCCAGCTAGTCTTGATCCATTCTTTGCCAAGCCTCTATTTGTGCTTGGGATTGACCCAGCTTGGATATAGGACTTTGCGCACTTGTCCTTGTTCATCTTGATGAGAGTCACATGAGCCCAGCTCTCCAGTCTGTCAAGGCCCCTCTAGATGTCGTTCCTTCCCTCCAGCATGTGCACTGCACTGCAGAATTTGGTGTCTCTTGGTCAGCTTCTCATCTGTCCAAGGGCAGTCAGAGCTCCATGAACTGCAGCTGGTCACTGACATAGAGCACGGCATCCCCTCCTTGTTTCCCTTGACAGTCCTTCCTAAAGAGCCTGTATCATTCCATCCCAATGGACCAGTCATTAAAGCCAGCCATCATGTATTATTGATGCCAATAAGGTCATAGCACACATCTCTAGCTCTTCATATTTCCCACTCTACATGCACTTGCATACAGGCATTTAAGCTGAGCTCTAAATGAAGCCTATTTTCTCACTGAAGAGGCAAGAATTCCTTTGTGCTGTTCTCGTGCCCAACCTGTGATTCCTTTCCAGGCTCTGAGCATCTCTTTCTGGCACTGGCATGCAAACTGGTGAGGGTGGAGTGGGTTGAGGTTCCTCTCCCTCCAGAACTTTAGTTTAAAGCCCAGCTTCACCAGCTTGGCAAGCTTACAACAAAAGGTGATCTTTCACGTCTCTGACAAATGTTCCCCATCAGCCCTCAGTAGCTCAGTTTTCTCAAAGTTGGTGCCATGGTATAAGTGGCTGAGCCCTGGTTATGGTGCCAGTCCTCTAGCATTGCTGGTTCACCACATTTGACCATCCCTTTAACACCCTTGCCCTCTGACTGGGAGGACAGAGGACAAAAGTGCCTGTACTCCAGATTCCCTTACCACCACTCCCAGAGCTCTCTAATCCCTCTTGATTGATACTTAGAGCACTCCAGGTTGTACCACTGGTGAAGCAACAGTCCCCCACCTGGGCACAGCTTTTGCAAGCAGGTCTGCTGCCAGTCCCCAGTCCAGCAGAAGGGTTGAGACACTTCATAAAATCTGAGATCTGCAATGCAGCCTCTCCTTTCAGCAGCTCCGTCTGAGGGCAGGCATCGGCCACCACCAGGGGGACAGTGCAGCCCTTCCAGCCAGAGCACAGCCTAAAGGGTTAGGTAGTGCCCTTGGCCTGTGCAGATGGTTACAGAAGGGTGCCCATTTGCTGGGTTATGTGGACTTCAAGTCTGTCCACACAGCTAGTGAAATGCTTCTTCTTCAAAGAAATGTCCTTCCACACGCACCACTGTGCTACACTACACCTCTTTTGTTTGCCCTGGTCACAGTGTTCCTGCCTTTCTTCAGCATTAGAGGAATATTGTGGTGAAAGGTGCCAGACTCAGCCTGTGTTATGACTGGTTTGGGGTGGGATAGGCTAGTCCGTCATATAAACCTAGGCAGAGACTTTAAATGACTGTCATCTGGGCTAACATTACTGAAATGAATGGACTTGCCTAATACAAAGTTCTCTGGATTCTGCAAACCTGAATAGTCCCACATATGTATTTATAAAAAATGTAATTTCAGCAATTTCCAGGGAACAATGTATATCCCAAATTAATGTTTCTGACTGACTTTATTATGTAGTTTTACAAATTTGATGAAAGCAGATGAGTCAATTTAATTACCTGCTTTAGCTGATGACTATTTCAAATATAAAACATAATTGTCATTTGGTCATAGAGAAATTTGCAGTATTTACTATCCATTTATGTTCATAAAAATTACTGTATAATTAGAAAATTATTGTCTTTCTTTTCCTGCAAAAGTGAGCACTCCCTAAGAGCTTTTATCACTTCAGACTCTTGACTATATATTTATCTTCAGATTGTGCATTCAGCAGTTGTTCTTCTGGCTGACTTGTGTTCTATACATACGTACATACATACATACATACCTATTACTAACACAGATTCAATTGTATGATACTGACAGATTGAAATTCGCAGGTTTGAGCTTCAACTTGCAACTTTAGATTACTAAGATAGGTTTTACATTCCTCTACATGCTCAGAATCATTATTTTCTGCATATTTCCAACTGTGTAAGCATATAAATAAATGTAATTTTACAAATCAGTATTTCAAAATAATTTAATTTCTATTTCTGATTGCCTAATCTTTACTTTGGAGAAAGACTCAGATCCATGCACCTAATGTGCAAAGTACTGCTATATCTAGTGTTAAGCAAAGAGTAGTTTGAATAATTTTGTGTGATTGCATTAAGTTTACTTTGGAAAACTTTGGCAATGGTGGGACTACAAGGGTGGCTTCCATGAAAAACTGCAAGAAGCTTCCCCTTGGTTCAACAAGGCCTATTCCAGCTGTAACCAAGATTGCTACAAGGTCATGGCTGCCAAGGCTTCTGGGATAACATTTAAGAAGGGGGGGAAAAACTGCTAGGCAACAGCGGCTGGAGAGAGGAATGAGAATATATGAGAGAAACATGCCTGCAGACACCAAGGTCAGGGAAGAAAGAGGGGAAGGACAAGCTCCAGGT